CTCGTCAGAAACTTGAGCTACCTCAAAAGGAGAAACATAAAAAGAGCAAGGAAAAGCACAAAACTAAGAAGGAACACAAACGAAGGAAAGAGAAGAAGAAAAAATACAAGAAGCATAAACACAAAAGTAAACAGAAGAACAAAAAAATCAGAGAAAAGCAGTAGTTCTGACAGTACTGACAGCAGTTCCAGCCAGAGTGATGAGGAAGGGACCACTGACATGTCGCCCGAGGAACTTCTGAGAAGGCTGAAGCGTCTTCCACTGAGGAGGCAGTGACTTGATTCCACCCTGGCCTCCCCTGCACGATGGGGGATCCTCAGCTGTTCAGTTACTACAGTATGCAGATTATATCCATATGTAAATCCATGCTGCCAGTTAGTTATTAAAACTATGACATTTCAGAGGCTGCCTTGGGAGTGGCAGAGATGAACTATTTATAATTTCAGTTGGTGTCAGAGGAACATTTAGACAGTTTGATTAAATTGTTAATTTTCTAAAAAAAAAAAATAAAAGGAGAATTGATGCCTTTGAGCTGTGCTGCTGGAGAAGAGTATTGAATATACCATGGATTGCTAAGAAAACAAACAGGTTCATCCAGGACAGGGCTAAACCGAGCTGCTCCTTGGAAGCAAGGATTCTGAAGCTTCGTCTGACATACTTTGGACATTTTGCAAGGCGGGACCAGTCCTTGGAGAAGGACGTCATGCTTGGGGATATAGAGGGTCAGCGCAAGACAGGAAGACTCTCTATGAGGTGGACTGATTCTGTGACTTGGGTAATGGGGATGTGTGTGTCGGAGACAGTGAGATTGGCACAGGATAGACCAGGGTTTAGGACTGTTGTACATAGGGTCGCTATGAATCGCAGACGACACAACGGCACATAACAACCACAGTCTTTAGAAGTTGGTGTAATGTCAGAGACTCCGAAATGTGTCCAGATCGTTAAGATAACCAAGAAGTCTCCAATAATTTGATTCTCCCCCACAGGGACAAGCAAAGTGCCTCAGAGTATCACATGCTGCTGCTTCTTTTTTTTTAAAATTGGTTTGCTTACAAAGTTCGCATATATTGTTTCATACTATTCTTCATTCACAATGTGTTTCATATAATCATTCTCAAGCATTATGTTTTCTAAAATTAATCACCATTAATCCATGCCCATCATTACTCTACCTTTTCGTCGGGACCTTTCCTTTTTCCTTGCTCTCCTCCCTCCACCCACCAAACTGTTCAGCCCCGTGGTTTCACCCCTACGCATCCTCACCCCACCAGTCCCCCTTCCCCTCTGAGTTCCTATACATGTTTTAATAGTTATCCTTCTGTTTTTGCAACAATGAAGTGTTTGTCCTTAGGAGACTGTGTCCTATGTTCAATGTTTTGCCAACTCAGGACACATTCGAGGAGGGAAGTTCAAGAGTTATCCTCTGGGTGGAGGTATTAGCAGGTTCTAAAGCTGTGCCTGACAAAGCAAGCTACCAGTGGCGCTAAGTTCAAAGCTGCCAGAGAACAAGTCAGTAAAAAGGCTTGAGAAGAGCAAACGTTCCCTCTCTCCTGCCTCTGGCGCAACAGGTGAGGAGCGAGGGTTGCCAAAGGTCCACATGCATTTGGGCTTGGTTAGAATGAGCCAAAGCGCCTGCTCTCGAGCCAGACTCGGTTCCCTCCTCTTGGAGAAGATGGGCACAGAAACCCTCAAACTTGAGGGTGTCCCATTCAGAGTTGCTAGCACAGCGTATTGTGGTCAGGTGAGAGGACACTGGAATCCACCGGACGTCACTCCTCGCGGGCGCGCGCGTCCGCCAAGCCGGAGTAGGGGGCGGGGTGGGCCGGGCACCCGCCGAGCCCTGCGCGCCCCGCGGTCCTCCTCCTCCGCGCCGTCACTGGCTGCATCCGCGCGGCCGGCACAATAGAGGCTCCGCCCCTCCCTCCGCGCGAGCGCTCCGCGGAGCCCTAGTCCAGCGCTCTCCGCCCGCGCGCGCCCAGTTACTGTGTGTCCCGCCTGCCGTGGCGCGCACCGCTGCCTCCAACCTCCATCGAGGCCCCTCTACCTGAGCCTACTCTCCCTTCACCTCCTCCAGCCGCGCGCCTGGCTCTCCACTGCGGCTGCACAGCCGAGAGCTGCTCGCGTTGATCGGGAGATGCTCAGAGTCTCTGGAGCTCTTCTTCCTGCCCTGCTCATCTGCACCTAGCTTTGGAAGGTGCTCTGAGCAGCCCCTCTCGGGGTCCAGTCACGGTAACCTCTCGCCTCAATCCTTGCAGAGACTCTGAGCTCCAGCCGTTTTCTGAAGGGGCTGAGCCCTCTCTTGTAGTCCATCATGGCAAAACCTCTGCTGCTGGTTTTCTGCTTCTCACTGGTTGTGGCTCAGAGCTGGGGGTCCACCACTTTCCCCACAGGGACAAGTGAGCCCCCAGATGCCCAGACAGTGGCGCCCACGGAGGATGAGATTCTGCAAAACGAAGCAGACAACCAGGAGAACGTCTTATCTCAGGTAGGAAGCAGAGCTTCAAACCCTCCGCTCCTGGTGAAGCGCATGTTTGTTTGGGGTCAGGGTAACAGAAACTTGTTTTCTCTCCATTACCAAAGAGAAGGGCTCTTGCTTTTTACTTGTTAAGAACGTTTCCTTATATCGGAGGGACATGGTCCTCCTTGCAAAGTTCTTTCAAGGTTATGGAATTAGGAGAAAGGAGAGAAGGAAGACGCACACAGCTGACTAAGAAGATGAAAGAAAGAAAGAAAGAAAACCACAACAAACCCAAACCTTTGTGGTTACAGAGTTGTGAAAAGTATCCTTGTGTGCACCGCTGTTTGTCAGGATTGGAATGTGAAAACAGGAGGCTTGTTGGACAAGAGACAAATGATAAGGCCCGTGGGAGATAAGTTGTGGCACAGGGTGAGAACATAGTTTGAGGCAGAAGCAGGGGGTGCAGACAGAACAGCGAGCGTGATGATTGGGAGGTGCCCTCATGTAAATGGTTTGAGGAAGGAGAATCTGACACTCCAGGTGTTGGGAGATAGGTCACCTCTGGTCTGGGACTTCTGGTGGGAACCAGGTGACAGGTAGTGACATTATAGGGTCTGCAGTGAGCCTTTGATTGCTTCATCTGACTCAGTCTTCAATACATCCATATACTCATTCTACAGACAAGATCCGTGAGTAAAGAGTAACAATGGTGGCTAACACCAGGGCTTATGATAACCGTCAGCCCAGATCTCATAACTGCAAGAGGCAGGTGTCGCTGCTTTTACTTTCTTTATTTTTTTTTTTTATTTCGTGCTCTTAAGAGCAGGTGTGATAATAATCCTTAATTCTAAGGATGAAGAATGGCCAAGGAAGAATCCAGTGACTATTTGGGTCTCTAATAAGTCCTCAAATGGAGTCTTTTCTCCTTCTTGTAGAGGGAATACTCGGTTATCATTGGGATTTGAGAGACACTGGTCTCAGCTGGTTAAGTGCTGGGCTGCTAACCAAAAGGATAGCAGTTCAAACCCAGCAGCCCCTTCCCCTCTGCAGGAAGATGAGGAACTTCCCGTCTGTAAAGATTAAAGCCTTGACAACCCCAAGGGGCAGTTCCCCTTTGCCTTACAGAGTCTCTGTGAGTCAGAATCAATTTGACAGAAGTGGGTTTTGTTTGGGGTTGGTCTTGTCACCCTTACGTTAATATATGCCCTACATTCACCCACAGCCCCCTCACTGACCCCTAAATTGAAAAGGCAGAATAATTGCTCACACTGGGACTCTGGAGCACCATCAACAAAAGCTTTCCTGAAACCTGAGCCTCCAGAAAGGAAAGAATCCACCCAGGTCTCCAAGCATGGCTGTATAGGAATCTAGGCAGAGTTTCAGGGAGCAGACAGCCACGATTTACTGTCAGCCCATAAAGCACCACTGCTGAAGTCACCCTGAACCCTTTCTTCCACTGATCCATCTGTATTTGACAACAGCCCTAACACAAATATTAGTATTAGAAGAAACTCAACTTTTGCAAGGAAAACATTATAAGTCTTCTTTAACACCACCTCCCCACTCCCCCCCCCCCCCCCCCCCCCCAGCATCCCAGGAACATTTCCACTCAAACCAGATCAACGCTGGCCGGCCTGCCTGCCTGCCTGCCTGCCTGCCAGGGTTATTAGTCAAACGAAGGAACTCTTCTCTGTGCCTAGAAGGGGAGCCCAGGCTACTAGGAGGAGGGTCTGTTGGAGAGGAGCATTTTCCCCAGCAAGTGCCCAGGGCGGGCGCTCCAGAAAGCCTGCTGTTGTGTGTTTTCTTGCCCAGGGAGGCTGGCAGGAGAAAGATTTCAGAAGGAAATATTTAGCATTGTAGAAGATGCTAGTACTGCTGGTTTGCTCTCTGCTGGGTTTGGCTTGAGATTTGGGTTCAGAAGCCATTCTTAGACTGATTAAACCTTAATGACCTTTGAGCCAGTCTCTCTCTTCCCAACTCCCTCTCTCCCTTCTCCTTACTTCTCCAAACAACCTATCCTTCAAGGCCTAGGTCTAATATTACTGCCTCCAGGAAGTCTTCCCTGGTTGCCCAACTAGAGCCACTTCAGCCCAGTTGAGTTCCCAGTGTTCTTTGTCTCAGCCTCCTGGGCACTTGTCCATTTCTATGCTGTGTGACTTTTACTTGTGTAAGCTCCAGGAGGAAATACACTTTCTCTAGCTCATCTCTTTACTTTTCAGGGCACCTAACACAGTCCTGGTTGGAACTTACTAAATGTTGGATGAAATCATGAGAATGGAAGTAGGTCTTCAATTTTGAATGTCAACTTTCCAGTCCCTCGGTCAGCCCTTGTTCTTTTTTCCTTCGTTAATATCAACCTGGCTTCTAGCAAAGTCAAGGGTTATTGTAGGAATGATGAGTCCCATCTGTTTTTTTGCGTCAAATGATGAAAGACTAAGGGCCCTTGAGAAATACATAGCTTTCCAAGACTAACCAAGAGACTGAACTCTGAACGCCTTCAAGGAAATATCAGAGTCAGCAAATTGTGTTGTGATGATCTGTTCGCTCCATAGTTCAGAAATGTCTGAATTCTCTAGTAGTACAGGAATTTGACAAAGTACACAGAGGACCTTCTTTAGGAGCTTGACTGAAGGCTGTATTCATCTCTTCTTAATATTTAGTGCTTTCTCTCAACAGTTGCTGGGAGACTATGACAAAGTTAAGGCTGTGTCGGAGGGCTCAGACTGTCAATGCAAGTGTGTGGTAAGACCCCTGGGCCGAGACGCCTGCAAGAGGATCAATGAAGGAACCTCCAGGAAAGAAGACTTCTACACCGTGGAGACCATCACGTCAGGCTCATCCTGCAAGTGTGCCTGTGTCGCGCCCCCATCTGCCCTCAATCCCTGTGAGGGAGACTTTAGGCTGCAGAAGCTCCGGGAAGCAGACAGCCGGGACTTGAAGGTGAGTTGGCATGGACAATACCATGGATGAAATGACACTTTACACTCAATCAAGTCTCAGGGCATGGAGCCTGAGTGTCCAGCAGGGGCACTGCTGGAAGCCATAGATGTCTGAATTAATGGGACCTGTTTTAGCTTTTATAGGAGTCCACACCCCAATCCCTAGAGTGTTTTGTGTGGATGATCTGACATTTTTAGCTCTGTGTCTGACAGGGATGCCTAGAGCAAGGTGTGCCTGCTCCTTCTGATGGAGCCAGGGAGGCCAAGCTGTGAACAGCTGCCAGGCTAGCCAGCAGGGAACTCGGTGTTCTTCTCTAGAAGAGCTGCCATGATTTGTCATCAGCCCAGCATACACCCCAAGGAAGCAAAACACACAGCAGGGAGTGAAACATCTCAGTCACAAAAAGACAAATACTGCATAATGTCACTGTTATAAAACAAACTAGCATGGAAGTTGGGGGAAACTAAGAAAACAGGGGATAAATAATGTACACGACATTGAAACAGATGAGGGAGAGAACTGAATAAAAGGAATATTTGATTAAGTATTACTGGCATGACAAGAGTCCAGAATAAGAGCTGCATAATAAGGGGGATGGGGGGAAACTATAACAATGAAAGAATTTTTTTCCAAAGAAAAAAGTGAACTGGGGGAAGGGAGGAAAATATATAACAATGAATGAATGAAAATCCAAGTTCTTTATAAACTTCCATTAAAATCTCAATTTAAAAATATTTTTAAAAGGCTCATCTGTTTAAGAACTCTTAAAAACTTCTAATTAGTAAAATAAGGAAGCTGAGAAAAAAAAATAACCTAGGAAGAATGAAGAAAATTAATGGAATATGATATTAAGAATGCCGAGACGAAGAAAGGACAATTGTAAAAGATGTTTCTGAAAATTTAAATAATATAATCACAGCAGGGTGATTTCAGTCCTTGGCACAAGAGCTGGAATAGCCAGATATGAAGACCTGTTCTAGACCCGCTCCTCAAGCTGTGGTATACTGCATAGGGTGGGGAATCTCGGACCCCACTATGGGAGCCAAGTGGCCTGGGTTAGAGCTTTTTATGACCTTGTACTTTGCCCTTCACTTGCAGCATGGGGTAGTGGATGGAATAAGCTTGATTTTGAAGTCTTCACAGCCTTGGGTTCAAAGTATTGCTCTGACTTGATTTAGTAATCACTCAAGCTATTTAACTTGTTTGACTGTAGTTTTCTTGAATAAAACATAAGAATAACATCTACCTTGGAGGATATTTTGCAAATCAGTATGCTAACCACTATTGATTCCTAGGACCAATGCCTGATATATTCTGACTCGTAAAAACCCTATGTGACAAAGTAGAGTAATCCCATAGGGGTTTTGTTTTGTTCTTAATTTACAAAGGAATTACAATAAAGCATATATAATTAAAGTGATAAACAAAATGTTGTTGTTATGTGCCATCAAGTCACTTGCAACTCATAACGACCCTATGTACAAGAGCTCTAAACGCTCATATCCTGTGCCAACCCAGCCATCTCAAACACACTTATTCCCACCGCTCCATCTCATCAAAGGTCTTCCTCTCCTTCGCCTCCCCTCCACTCTGCCAAACATGATGTCCCTCTCCAAGGACCAGTCCCTCCTTGAAACATGCCAAAAATATGTCAGACTTCAGAATCCTTGACTCCAAAGAGCCTTCCAGCTTCACCCTCTCCAGGACAAACCTGTTTGTTGTCCTAGCAGTCCATGGTATATTCAACACTCTTCTCCAGCAACACAGCTCAAAGGCATCAAGTCTCTTTCTATCAACCCTATTCACTGTCCAACTCTCTGATGCATAGCATGTAATTGCAAAGACTATAGCCTGGATCAGGCTCACCTGAGTCTCCAGTCTGATGTCATTGCTCTTCAGTACTCTTGAGAGGTCCCTGACAGCTGACTTTCCCAATGCAATTCGTCTCTTGATTTCCTGGCTGCTGTTACCAAGGGTGTTGATTGTGGAGCCAAGTAAATTAAAACTGTTAACTATCTCAATCTCTTCACCATCCATACTGATGCTGCCAGTTGGTCCCGTGGTGAGAATCTTTGTTTTCTTGATGTTGAGCTTCAGTCCATATAGGAGGCTGCAGTCAGTCCTTGATCTTCTGCAGCAAGCGCTTCAGGTTCTCCTCAGTTTCAGCGAGGAGGGTTGTGTCATCTGCATAACGCAGGCTGTTGATGATTCTTCCACCAATCCTAATGCCACATTCCTCCTCGTACAGCCCAGCATCTCGGATGATCTGTTCAGCATACAGATTGAAAAGGTATGGAGACAAAATACATCCCTGACGGACCCCTTTCTTGATTTTGAACCATCAAGTGTCTCCCTGCTCTGTTCTGATGACTGCTTCTTGGTCCAAGTATAGGTTTTGCATTAGCACAATCAAATATTCTGGGATTCCCATTCTTCTCAGAGTCAGCCACAACTTGTTGTGATCCACACAGTCAAAAGCCTTTGCATAGTCAATGAAGCACAGGTAGACATTCTTCTGGTATTCTTTGCTTTCTGCCAAGATCCATCTAACATTAGCTATAATATCCCTTGTACCATGACCTCTTCTAAATCCAGCCTGTACATCTGGCAGTTCTCTGTTGACATATTGTTCCAAACGTTTTTGGATCATTTTCAGCAGAATCTTTCTCGCATGTGATATTAATGATATTGTTTGATAATTTCCACACTCTGTTGGGTCACCTTTCTTTGGAATGGGAACAAATATAGATCTTTTCCAGTCAAATATGATTTTTAATTTTAAGGTATCTGCAGTTTCTTTTTTTATTATGAAGTGAATGAAAGTTTTCAGAAAAAAAATGGTTTTCTATTCAAGAATTTATATACATACAGTGTTTCAGAAAACAGAAAAAGAAGAAATACTTCTGGTTCATTCTATAACCCTGCTACCAAAACCAGGTAAAGACACTACCAAAAAAAAAAAAAACCCAACCAATATCTCTCTCATAAATATATACAAATCAGCTTCCCTGGCCTCAAGGCCTACTACATAGCCATAGTCATTAAGAGAACATGGTACTGGTACTGTGTGTGACAAACACAGATCAATGACATAGAATTGAGAACCCAGAAATCAAACCATCTGCCTATGGTCAAATGATTTTTGACAAGGAGATGAAATCAATTAAGTGCGGAAATGTGCTGGAAAAATTGGACATCCATTTGCACAAAACTAAAGCAAGATCCACATGTCACACCTACATAAAGACAAACTCAAACTGTATCAGAGACCTAGGAATAAAACAAAAAAGTATAATCAGAGAAAATAGGAACAAATCTAGAAACCTTCATATATAGCCTAAATAGACTTTCAAGCATAACCAGGAAATAAATAGAACCTTCTAAAAATAAAATAATTGTGTGTATTTAAAATATATCTATATATCTATGTCTGTATCATCTCTATCTGTATATCATCTCTATCTCTATCTGTCATCTATCTATCTATCTATCTATCTATCTATCTATCTATCTATCTATCTATCTATCTATCTACCTACCTATGTATCATCTATCTCTACAATAGAGTAAAAAGGAAGCCCACAGACTTGGAAAACTATTTGGTAATGACATATCTGATGAGGGACTTATATCTAAGATTTATAGACTACTCTAGTGCATCAACAAGAAAAAGACAAAAAGCCTAGTCACAAAATGGGCAGAAGATATGAACAGATGCTTCACTAAAGAAGAAAGTAAAAAATGGTCAGCAGATAATTGAAAAAATACTCAAAATCACTAGCTATTGTTGTAGTTAGGTGCTGTTGAGTACGACTAATGGTGATCCTATGAACAACAAACCTGAACCCTGTCCTATCCCTGTGCCATCCTCATAATTTCTGACACACTTGAGACCATTGCCACAGTAACTGTATCAGTCCATATCTTTGAAGATTTTTGTCTCTTTTGCTGACCCTCTACTGTTCTAAGCATAATGTCTCTTTCCAATAACCTCTCCATACAACATGCCCAAAATAATTGACACAAATTTCACCATTCTTGTCTCTAAGGAGCACTCTGGTTGCACTTTTCTCAAGACAAATCTGTATATTCTTTTAGTAGTCCATGGGATATTCCAAACTCTTCTCCAACAATAGTATCAATTCTTCTGTCATCCTTATTCATTGTCCAACTCTCAAGTGTATAGCAAGTGATTAAAAAGATCATGGCCTAAATGAGGTGCACCTTAGTCTTCAAACTGACATTATTATTTGTCATTATTTGAAGAGGTCCCTGACAGCTGACTTGCCCAATGCAATACGTCTTCAGATCTCCTGACTGTTGATATTAAGGATGTTGATTGTGGATCCAAGTAACATGAAATTGTTGACAGTTTCAATCTTCTCTCTATATAACATGGTGTTGCATATCAGTCTAGTGATAAGGATTGTTCTCTTCTTGATACTGAGATGCAATCTATATTGAAGGCTGTAGTCTTTGATCTTCTCCAGCAAGGTTTCCGAGTCATCCTCACTTTCAGCAAGCAAGGATGTATTATCTGCATAACAGAGGTGGTTGATGAGTCTTCCCCCTATCCCAATTCCACATTCTTCTTCAGAGAATCCAGCTTCCTAAATTATTTGCTCAGAGTACAGATTGTATACGTATGGAGAAAGATTCAACCCTGACACACACTTTTCTGGATTTTAAACCATGCAGTGTCCCCTTGCTCTTTTCAAACAGCAGCTTCTTGGTCTAGATATAGGTTTTGTATGAGTATAATTAAGTGTTCTGGAATTCCCATTCTTCTCAATATTAGCCATAGCTTGCTGTGATCCACAAAGTCAAATACCTTTGTATCGTCCATAAAACACAAATAGACATTTATCTGGTATTATTTGCTATGAGCCAGGGCTCACCTGACATCAGTGATATCCCTGGTGCCATGGCTTCTTTTAAACCCCACTTAGTGGCAAGAAGCTGCACTGCATTCCTGATGACATGCAGCTCAAATTCCACCAGCTGCTCTGTAGGAGAAGGATGGGAAGTCTCTTCCCATGTGATTAACTGCCTCTGAAAATCCATCGGAGGTTCAGCTATGGGTCAGTTCCAACTTGACAGTATGTAACAACAATACACTTCTGACAGTTCTCTGTCAATATACTAGATGTTTTGGGATGATCTTCAGCAATATTTTGCTTGCATGCGATTAATTATTTTGTTAAATAATTTCCATATTCTAGAGAGATGTAGATCAAAACAACAGTAATGATACCATCTCATCTGAGAAACAATTGTAAAGTTCAACAGAACAGCATACAACAAATGCTGGCGAGGATATAGAAAAATTTTAACTATCATGTACTGCTTGTGCGGATGTACAGCCACTATGGAAGGCAGCCCAGCACATCCTCAAAAAGTTGAAATACTATATGATTCATCTATCCCACTACTGGGAATATGTTCTGTTGTTCTTATGTGCCGTTGAGTCGCTTGCAACTCATAGCGACCCTATGTACAACAGCTCTAAACTCTGCTCTGTCCTGTGCCAATCGCACTGTCTCTGACACCCCATTCCAATTATCCCAGTCACTGAATCAATCCACCTCCCAGAGGGTCTTCCCCTCCTGCGCTGTCCCTCCACCCTCCCAAGCATGATGTCCCTCTTCAAGGACCGGCCCCTCCTTACAACATGACCAAAGTATGTCAGACAGTCTCAGAATCCTTGCCTCCAAGGAGGAGCCTTGTTTAACCCTCTCCAGGATGAATCTGTTTGTTTTCTTAGCAGTCCATGGTACCGTCAGCACTCTTCTCCAACACCAAAGAGCAAAAGCATCAGTTCTCCTTCTATCCTCCCTGGTCATTGTCCAGCTCTCTGACACATAACAAGTGATTGCAAAGACCATGGCCTGTACCAGATGCACCTTAGTCTCCAGAGACACACCATTGCTCTTCAGTACTTTAGAGAGGTCCCTAACAGCAGACTTTCCCAAGAATTTAGTGACACAAACAGATATATACACGCCCATGTTCATTGCAGCATTATTCACCATAGCAAAGACATGGAAGCAACCCAAATAATATCAGCAAATGAAAGGATAGAGAAACTGTGGTACAAAATGGAATATTTTGCAGCATTGAAAAACTGGAAACTTGTAAAATACTGCACAGCATTGATGAGTCTGGAACACATATACTGAGTGAAATATCTCAGTTACCAAAGGACAAATACTGTACAAGACCACTGTTGTAACAGTAGAATGGATTTGACAGGGCAGGAGGGGGAGAGCAGGAAAAGAATTAACAGACACTAAACACTACACTGGAATAGGTGAAGGGAAAGACAATCTGAAATGAATGTAAAATTAGACATTTTGTATATTACAATTGAAAATCTGGAACAGGACAAGTGTTACAAAGTGAATTAGGGGAGGATTAGGAAGGAAAATGCATATATAGGAATGAATGAAAACAGATCTTTGTAAACTTGCACTAAAGTCACAATTTAAAAAAGATAAGGAGAATAAAAGTAGATACGTCAATTAGGATTGAAAAAACACCTTTATTTAAGTACTATGATTGCTGTTTTAATACTAACCACTGTATTTTCTTAAGGTCCCACTCCAAGGAATATCCTGTCCTAGCAACGTAAAGTATGTGAGAGAAAGCTTCACCATCTTTGCCTTCCAGAAGCACTCTGGCTGCACCTTCTCTAAGAAATATCTCGTTTATTCCTATGGCAGTCCATTGGATATTCAGTACTGTTCTCCTACATCACAATTCAAAGTCATCAACTATTCTGTCATCCTTATTCATTGTCCAGCTCTCAGATGCATCACAAGTGACAGAAAGACCGTAGCCTGAATCAGGTGCACCTTAGTCCCTAAAGTGATATAATTGTTCTTCAGTAATTTGGAAAGATCCCTGATTACTAATATTACCAATGCAATATGTGTCCTGATCTCTCTCTCGATTGCTAGTACCAAGTGAATTGATTGTGGACCCAAGTAAGATGAAGTCTTTGACAGTTTCAGTCTTTTCTCCTTCTGCCATAATGTTGCCTATCAGTCCAGTGAGGATTTTTGTTCTCTTGATATTGAGATGCAATCTATATTGAAAGCTTCCTGAATATATTGCAGTGTTTGATCTTCTGCAGCAAGCGCTTCAAGTCCTCCTCACTTTGAGCAAAGTTGTGTTATCTGCATAATCAAAGTTATTGATGAGTCTTCCTCTAATCCTGATGCCACATTCTTCTGTGCAGAATCCAGCTTGGTGGAAGATTTTGTTCAGCGTACAGATTGACTTCGTATGGAGAAAGAATACAACCCTGATGCATGCCTTTCTTAATTTTAAATGATGTAGTGTTCCCTTGCTCAGTTTGCCCAGTAGCCTCTTGGTCCAGGTATAGGTTTTGCATAAGCACAATTAAGTGGAATTCCTACTTTTCTCAATGTCAGCCATAATTTGTTATGATCCACATAGTCAAATGTCTTTGCATAGTCAGTAAAATACAAATAGACATTCTTCTGGTATTTTATGCCTCCTGCCAGGATCCATATCAGCAATGATGTCCCTGGTGCCACAGTCTCTTCTAAATCCAGCTTGAACATCTGTAGTTCTCTATGTACTATTCTACTCATGTTTAAAAAATCTTCATCGGTATTTTGCCTGCATGTGATATAAATGATATTTTTCTATGATTTTCACATTCTCTTGGATTACCTTTCTTGAGAATGAGGACAAATATGGTTCTCTTCCAGTCACTCAGCTAGACAAGAGTCCTCCAAATTTCTTAACATAGACTAGTGAGCATATCCAGGACTGCATCTGTGATTTGAAACATGTCAATTGGTATCCCATCAATTCTTGGGGCCTTATTTTTCCCCCCAATGTCTTCAGTGCAGTTTAAACTTCTTCCTTCTTTACCGTTAACTCTTGATCCTATGGTCCTTCTTCAAATATTTCATTGAGGTTTAAAATTGTTTTTCACTTCTTTCAGCTTGAGAAATGCTGAGTGAGTTCTTCCCTTCCAATTCTAAGACTCTGCACATTCCCTTATAATAGTTGGCTTTATCTTCTCAAGCTGCCCTTTGAAATCAATTGTTCAGCTTTTTTACTTCAACATTTTGATTTCCCTTTACTTTGGCTACTTGGCTTTCAAGTGCAATTTTCAATGTCTCTTCTGCCATCCATTTTTATTTTTTTCTTTCTCCTCTGTCTTTGTAGTGACCTTTTTCTATCTTCATGATATCCTTGGTATCATCTCACAACTTATCTGGCCTTCGATCATTGGTGTTCAGATCTTCAAAGCTATTCTTAAGATGATTTTTAAACAAGTGGGATAAACTCACGATCATATTCTGGTTCTTATAGCAAACTCAAGCATCTTAATACCTTTAAATTTGATGATTTGATTTCTGTTTTCCTCATGGTCAGTTTTTCTATCACTACTGGCAGGGGAAAGTCTCTTGACCTTCAGTGGACAATGGAGCTTAATATTTCAGAAGTGTATCCTCAAGGCTTCAGAGTTTATAAGCCATTTAGTTGCAAATTTATAGATTATCTGTATTTTATTATATATCTTGGGAAAGCAAGGATTTAAAGTTTTAAAGGAGTTCACTGTCTAGTAGGAAAGAGATGTGTGTGCATCTCACAGGATTCATAAAAGAGGTATGGAAACAAGTTGGAAGGGGTCCTATGGCACAATGGTTAATGATTTGACTGTTAATCAAAAGGTTGGTGGTGTGAACCCACCCAGCAACTTTGTAGGAGAAAAGGCCTGACGATCTGACACCGTCAAGATTATAGCTTAGAAAACCCAATAGGGCCGTTTGCAGTTCTCTTTTATATGTGGCCGCTAACTCAACAGCACCCGGCGGCGACAGTTCAACAAAGAGGCCTAAACCTCAGAGTTTGCTTCTTCTTGTAGGAGTCTCCTGTTACCTTCAGCAGCTATTCCAGAAGTCGGCAAGTGATTGCACTATTGTGCTTGCCTATGTGACCACCTCACAAATGCCAGTTTCTGAGGACCCAACTCCCAATTCCTAGTGATTTCCCTTGTCAAGCCTCCAAACATGGAATTCTGAAGAGGAAACCGCTCTCCCTGTGATCCTTTGGCCCTGCCCTGGACTGACATGGAATTCTGAAAAGGAAACCACTCTCCCTGTGACCCTCCCACCCTGCCCTGGACTAACTCTCCACCTTCTTCCTTCGTAGCTCTCCACCATCATGGACATGCTGGAGGGAGCTTTCTATGGCCTGGATCTCTTGAAGCTGCATGCGGTTACCACCAAGCTGGTGGGGCGAGTGGATAAGCTGGAGGAGGTGAGAAACCGTCTAGCTTTCCCTATTTTTCTCCTTCCCTGCCCCCCATGATACTTGATTTTATTTACGTTCCATATCTTTGTTTTGATGAGGTTTAAAAGTGGGTCAAACTTCCTACAGTATTTTTTCATAAAACTTGTTGTTGTTAAGTGCCCATGAGCTGACATTCATAGCAACCCTATAAACAACAGATCTGAAAACGTTGCCCTATTCTGCCCATCCTCGTAATTTCGGATGTGCTGGATCCCGTGGTTACAGTCAGGCCACTGTGTTAATCCGTCTTGTGGAGGGTCTTCCTCTCTTTCTCTGACCCTGCACCTTCCCAGCATGAGGTCGTTCTGCAAGGGCTGACCTCTCCTGACAACCTGAGAGGAAGTTTCACCAACCTTCCTCTAAGGAGCACCTTGGTTGCATTTCTTCCAAGACAGACTTGTTTGTTCTTTTGGCAGGCCATGTGACATTTAGTACTCATATATATGGCATCATGCTTGGAAAAGTGGAGGGTCAATTTAAGAAATGAAGACTCACAACAAGATGGATTGATACAGTGACTGTAACAATGGGTCGTGTATACATATCAGAGATGGGGAGGATTGTTTTGAGTCACAGGCCACTGACTTGACGGCACCCAGCAACAACATATGTATACATATAGACACAATATAGCCTATATATTTCTATTTCCCCCTTGACTTCCAAGGAACTCTGTACTAAGTGAGATGCAAAAGTTTAGTAATAAGCATCTTACCTGTGGTTTCAAAGTGGAATTGTAGTTTTCCTGGGTAGGTGGTTGCTAATGGGATTTTTCTTTGCTTGGCTGGTTTTTTAACTATTCTGGGGTGTGTGTAAGGGGTGTGTGTGTGTAAAAATACAAATTTTTACAAGTATAAATAATTTATAAGATTTATTGTTATTAGAAAGCAAACACTCATGTACAGCCACCACTCAGTTTAAGAAACAGGGCACATCAGCCCCACAAGAGCCCCTGACAGGCTCTTTCCTCCTCAGAACCTCCTCACCCTGCCCACCAATGTAGTCACTACCCTGACTTTTATGTTCTTCATTTTCTTTGCTTTTCTTTATAATTTTACCATCTAAGGTTATATCCATAAATGCAACAGTTTTGTCTGGTTTTGAAGGTTAGGAATTATGCCACCAAAATAAAAAGTATGTGGTTCTGCAGAAGAAAGATGGGCAATCTCCTCCATGTATTTTACTGCCTCTGAAAACCTGCTAGAGGGTCATCTGTGGGTCAGTACACAACGTCAACAACACAGAATATGTAGGAAGCTCTGGGGATTGAATGGTAGAGTTATGCTCAAAGCAGACTATTGGAATGCGCCAGCTTCTCCAAGCATGAGGTCAACTTTGAGTCAGTTCTAACTTGACAGCACACAACAACAAAAACAACTACACAGAATATATATGTCTTTGTATGTTGGCAAGACGACAGTAAATGCAAACCACTCACTCCTGTCCAGTCCATTCTGACTTAGCAACCCTATGGACAGAGTAGAACTGCCCCTATTGGGTTTCTGAGAACCATTGGTCTTAATGAGAGCAAACTCCCCTGTCCTACCTGTGGAGTAGTAGTGGATTTGAACTTCTGACCTTTAGTTAACAGCCCAGGCTTCATCTAGTGTGTGGGATTCAGGCTCCTGTGTGGGAGAGTAATGCATATCAAATTGATTTTGGGGTGACCAAAGAAAAACATTATTACCATGAAACTAGGAGGGCTGCCTTGTTTTTCTGTGTTTCTCATCTTTTCCACTTTGTATAGGGTGCAGTCTTAACACTTTTCTATTCTTCCTTTTTATGAAAAAGATTGGAGTTTTCCTTCTTGGACAGGTTTCTTCCTTACACGGGTTCTGCTTTTGAAGGCTCTACTGTACTAAATTGTTCTCCATACTGGAAAACATCTCAGCCTCCTCCTGCATGTGGTCATGGACCAGTAAAATCATTCTGACAGAGTGAGATTGCACATTGTCCTGCTGGGTTCCAGGGAGATGCACAGCTGTTTCATAGTGTCTGATGTGATGGTGGGACATACAAGTCTTTACATGCTGATTTATGGTTTGTTATTGTAACCTTTTAGCATGGAGATATTATTTAGTCTCTAGAAAAATAATAATCAGCTTTCACTGTTATTGGTAAGAAGCTTTTAAATCTGTTCCATTGACGGCCATCTAGTTTCTGAACTAGAAAATGAAGCTGTGACTCTAACAGTTACTACTTCAAGAAGAAATCTACTTCTTTAGTGTCTTGCTAGGAGTGGTTTTTTTAACACCAGAACAGCTGTAAGCCTATCAGTATTGCTCATGAAATAGTGGGCTTTTGAGAGTCAACCACGGAGGGACGAGCTGAGGTTCTTTTACAGGGGTTTGTTTAATAGATGTAGGATGTAAAAAAGGCAAGGGTCTCTGGTTTGTGACATAAAGAGCCCTGGACTAAGACAAGATTGACTTGCAGTAGATCACACATCAAAGACAGACTTTCTCCCTCTGTAAAGTGGAATGAAAGAGCCCTGGTGGCACAGTGGTTAAGCATTCCATTGCTAATGGAAAGATCCATGGTTCAAACCCACCAGCTGCTTCACAGGAGCAAGATAAGGCAATGTGAGTTAATAAAGTCTTTCCACCTTGGATATCCTATGGAATAGTTCTACTCTGTTGTATGAGGGTGCTGTGAGTCAGTTTCTTCTTGACAACAGCAGGTTTAAAGTTGTTGTCGTTATGTGCTAATCCTATAGAACACACAGCTCTACTCTGTCTCACACGACATCTCCGTGAATCAGCACTGATTTGACAACAACTGCTTTTGGCTTTTTATCTCCTCAATAACTGGTTCAGGATAGAGCAGAGTTCAGAGCATAGGGTCACTATGTGTTGCAGTCGTAACAGATGAGCCGTATGCATCGGCATATAACGACTTTCTTCTACAGTGCCTCTGGGTGGACTGGAACTTCCAACTTTTCAGTTACTAGCTGAGCCTGTTAACTGTTTGTATAACCCAGGGGCTCCTACTGAGAGGATAAGAAGGGAGCCAATCATCATAAAACTATTTCATTTTATTTGGACCTACAGTCAACATCACAGTAGCAGCAGTTAAGAAATTGAAAGATGTGCTGCATCAGAACATGTGTTGTCAAAGGTCTAGCAAAAGTTCTAAAGAGTAAAGATGTCAATTTAAAGATTAAGACACTCCTGATCCGAGCTTTGATACTTTCAGCTTCTTATGCATCTGAAAGTAGGGCAATGAGTAAAGAAGACAAAAGAAAGAATTGATGCCTTTGAATTGTGGTGTTGGCCAAGATTATTGACTATATCTGCCAAAAGAACAATTAAATCTGTCTTAAAGGAAGTACAACCAGAGTGGTGAAACATCATCTCGCTCACTTTGGGCATATTTTCAGGAAAAACCAGTTCTTCGAGAGAGACATCATACTGAGAAATGTAGAGGGTCTGTGAAAGAGAGGAAGACCTTCAAAGAGATGAATTGGCCCAGTTACCACCACAGTGGGCTTGGGCATGACAGAAATCACTAGGATAGTGCAAGATAAGGCACAGTTCGAGTCTCTTGTTCATAGGGTTGGTATGAGTAGTAGTTGGCTTAACAACAAAGACAACAGCCATTATGATGAGACTTTGAAACGCCTAACTAAAACAAGGCACTTGTGTTATGACCAAGCCGTAAATGGAGCAGTTCCAAGTGAAGTTGCCAAAGGAGCTGGGACAAAGAGGCTGAAATATTACAGTTGTGAGAATTAGTCTCAGTGAACTCCTACTTCGAAAAATGTTCCCAGCAAGTGAGCCGCAGGTCTTTCTCCACCCACTTCAAGGTGTGATGTGGATATGGCCAGTTGTTCTGGAATGGTTGGTAAATCCTCCAGTAATTTAAGGTTACAGGTTCTCATTGAGAGAACTCAGGGCCCTGGATCCCCAACTTTGTGAACAAGTCCAAATGGGGCTTCCTAAGGAAACTGCATTATTGAGGCCTTGAGTCTCCCTTCCCCATCTTGTGATTTAAATGGTGAGAGTGGGAATGGCCAACACCAGCCTAATATTAGTAGAGCAGAGCCCACTTTATGTTGTCTTGGGATACCTCCTCATATTTAGGACCATTTTCTGATCCTTTCAGGTGAGTTCAAAAGGAAATCGATTAGATTCTAACATCAGAAAGTCTGTGCTTCCTTGACCCCAGAAATAGCCAAACTTGTCATGCCTCTTAATCATCAGGTTGTACTTGTACAGGAAAGAGGGGTGGCAGCCACCTTTTCGCTGTCACTCAACCTTAGCAGCTACATGGTTCTCTTTCTTTCTCTTTGGACCTGGTCAGGTGCTGGGCCTCTGACAAGGCCAGGGCTGGAGCCTTCAGGGTTTCCCCATTCTTGTGTAGTGTCTGAGTCCTCCCTGCTGGCCAAGGATAGGCATGCGGGTGACCGTGGCGCAATGCCACTGCCCTTGCAGGATGGTATTTTCTGTGCAGCCCCACAATCACAGGGGCTTTGTCAACGTACTCTTGTTATAAATATATTTCTTTCAAAAGGAAGTTGTGTTTAGTAGCAAAAACCCAGATATTTATAAAATGAACAATAATAACACGGTGTATCTGCATAGCATTGTACTCTTTGTTAACCATTCCATGTCCATCCCTTATATTAGCCCATGTTTATTGAGTAGGAAAGGTGTGAAATCCAAAGAAATTTATTGACCTGACTAACACGGTGGTGCTAAAAGTGTAGGACTGAGTCAGATGTTCTGGTTTCTGGTCCAGGGCACTTTTTGATCAGCCCTGTAATTGTTCTTGAATCTGCCTTGCAATCATTAGTTTTCCCCTTATGTTGTTGTTGTTATGTGCCATCGAGTCGTTTCCGACTCATAGC